GAGGGCCCCCCCCCCACTTTCAGGAGAGGAGAGGAAACAGGCCCGCTCACCCCCCCCCCCCAAAGAAGCTTCGCAGGGAATGGGTGGCAACTGCAGTGAGGCATCCGGCCCCCCACCTCTGGGAAATCTGGTGCTGAGAAGAAAAAGGCAGCCGAGGCTGAAAGGGAGAGAAGGGGGCCGCCCCCTCCCCTCTCCTCCCCTCCCCGCTGCAAGAGCGAAGTCCAGGGGTGGGAGCCGCACCAAGCCAGTCTCCCTGCTAACCAGGGCTGGCAGGCAGGGAGAGGGGCAGGTCTCTCATCTAAAGCAGGGAGAAGGGTGCTAATTCAACAGGGCAGGCTCTTCGCCCTTCCAAGCGCCCCCGCAGCCTTTTCCTCGTCTTCGGGGTCTCAGGAAGGCATGCATTGCACCCGCTCCGGGCCCTCCTCGTCTTCGTCCAAGGTGTCGGACGAGCTGAGGGAGTCGTCGGAGTCGCTGTCGGCCGGTCCGGTGCCCGGATCCCTCTGGCGCTGCAGAAAAGGAGCAGCATCACGTCACGGGCACGGCAGGGGAGAGGGCTCTGGTCTTTCCAGACCATGCCCCATCTGATACTGCAATGCCATTTTAAAATCAGCTTCCAGGCCTTCGAGAGACACAGCTGCTGAGCACAGGCAAGACTTCCTGCCCAAGGGCCCCAGCTCCCAGGCCGCTCAGGGCGGCCTGCCGAAGGGCCCCCCCCCCCCCGGGCCGCAGGGGGGGGCTGGCAGAAGGGCCCCACTCTCCCCCCGCCAAGAGTCAGCCGCTCACCCGGTGATGCTGAGGTCGAAGGTGATGCATCAGGAACCAGAGCAGGTGGCTCTCGTACATGTCCGTGTGATGCAGGCTGTCCTTGTCACGCTCCCGCTTGTTCTTCTTGATCACCTAGAGAGGCAGCAGAAGAGGATGCAGCCAAGGGGCCCCACATGACTGATGGGTGCTTGCGGACCCACGCATGCACCGAACCCCTTGGCTCAGAACTGCCCGGAAGGCGTCGACGATCCCAGATCCGGGGGGAAGAGGACGCGCCATGCCCCGGGTTCTCTCCCCACCTCCTTTAAGCCAGTGAGCTGGGTGGGCATCTCTGCAATGGGGGCCCAAATCTTGACATCGTAATCCAAGCCGCTGGTGGCCAGAACCGGGAGGTGAGGGTGAGGCTCCAAGCAGTTGACCTGCGAGTGCAAAAAGAGAAAGAGAAAGAGAAAGAAAGAGGAAGGGACTACAAACACTTGCAGAGGGGCCACCGAGCTCACCAGCTGCTCTTCTCGTAAGCTGGCGGCAAACAGGCACTCCGAGGGTGCTGCTTGTTCCTTGCCCTGGCCTGCCTTCTTAGAAGGAAATGTGAAACGTAAACCCAAATAGCGACAGAGAACCCAGAAGGGAGGGACGGCCACTGACTCGCGTGAACCGCTCCTGGCTTTCTTAACCACGTTTCCCCACAATCTGCGGCCGCAGCCCCTTCCGAGTCCTGAGGATGGTCCTTCTCCCCACCTGCAGGGGCAGGGAGAGCCACTTGCAGGGTGAGGGATACAGGGCACTGGGCACCGTGTGCATTTCTGGGAGCTGGAAAAAATGGCACCTCTTTGGCTCGGCCCAAGCAAGATCCCCCCTTCTCCTGGGATGCTGCCCAAACGGCCCCCAGCAGTGGGCAGCCACTCACCACTCCGCCTTTGTCGCCTTGCATGAACTGCACAACTTGGCAAGAGGCCTTTTCCCACAGGAAGATGTGGCCGCAGTCGCTGCCGCTCACCACAAATTCGCTCTTGGGGCCGTAGAAGTTGACACCCTTCACTGAAAGCAAACGTGGCACCTCAGGCTGGGCTGGGAGCCACCTGTCCCACCGCCTGGTCGTGCCAGGGGGCCGAGGGAGGTGCCCCCGTTAGTCTGGGAGCATGGGCTCTGTGTCCCCCTCCTGGCCGGAAGACAAATCCGCTCGGTTAGGCAAGGATTCGGAGAGGGAGAAGTCCCGTTTAGAATAACTTTGCCGTCTTTTATGCTGCTGATTTAAAATGGTTCACTTGGAAGTATGACCGGAGCTGAACGACCGTGACCGATCTTCCTCTCTGAGCAACTGCGCCTCTCCAGATGGATCCCCAGTGGCACAGCTAACCTCCAGTTTGCACGTCCCCCAAGTCAGAACGAGCTTTCCACAGCCACCCTTGTCTCCTCGGCCAGAAGCCCCCTACTCTCCAGCTGCCTTTGCCAAGGAGATCCCCCACTCTCTCCTCGGTGACCTCCCCAACTGCACGAAGCCGCCCACGGCCGACTGGGGAGGGACCCGGGGCAGGCAGGCCGCACCTGTGGCATTGTTGCGGTGGCCCTTGTATCTCTTAACATACTCCGCTCCGTCGCTGTGAGACGAGTTGAAGAGATAGATGTCCTCGTCGTTGTAGCTGGCCAGGAGCTCTGCAAGACACCCACAAGCAAGCACCTGGAGGCAGCCGCACAGCCCAGGCCCCAGGCCCGAAGGGGGATTGCAGCTCTGGCAAGGAAGAGGCGGCCCCCGGCCTCCAGCCTCGATCCGTGATGGGTCTGCGCAGCACAGACTCTCTCTGAGCCTCGTGGCTTTGCACTGGGCAGACCAGCCAAACTGCCCCCCCCCGCAATCTCTGTTCAAGAGCTGCTCTAATGTCTTGCGCTTGGAATGGGCCCCTGCTGGGACCCAGACTCCCTGCACCCCCATACCTGAGCCATTGTGGTTGTAGACCAGGCAGGTGATGTTGGCTTTCGACTCGCTGTTCACCTAGAAGGAACCAAGGGAGAGAACTCAGAGACATGCGACTCCCTTGCAAAGATCCTTTGATCAGGCAGCCAGTTTTCCAAACAATCCAGACGCTCGGCATGGCCTCGTTTCCCCGGCACGGGGAGACCTCCTTTCCCTGATGGTGGCCTCCCGCCCTGAGACCAAGGCAGGGAGGCACCCCCCAGCTTCCTGCCAAGACAGGGAAGTCTCCAGCTCAAGGGACCTGAGAGGGGGCAGCTTCCCCAGGGCTTCTGATCCCCCATCAACAGCTCCTGCTTGCTCCTCTGCACTCCCCTTCCCCAACCATTTTTGGCAAAAATGGAATCCAAGACTCATGAGGGGACAAGCCACGGACCCCAGGAAGGAGATAGTGCCTGGACAGCCACAATGCTGCGGGGGGGACCTTTGCTTTCCCCGTGTGAAGCCGGGGCTCCCTCTGGAAAGGGCCCCTCCGGCATCTCTTGCGGGGCCAAGCCCTCAAGCCACTTAGCGCCCCCGCTGGGGTCAGAGAGATGAGGCAAGCTTGCTGGTGGGGAGCAGCAGAAAAGAAGCCCTCACCAGGTGGTGGGGGCAAAACTTCTTCAACACCCCATTATTCTCATTTTCGTCAATCTTCCGCTGATCGTAGATCCTATGCAGGGACAGGCAGAAAAAGAAAGCTAAGACCAGCGACACAAAGGAAAGTCTCCATTCATCTTGTCTGACCCATTGCAACGGGGAGGCAGAGATTTGCATCGCCCCTAACGGTGGCACAGAAAGAAATGCCAAGCTCTGTTCTGTGCGCCACAAGCCTCGGTGTGCCCTCCGACAAGCTTCCAGTCCTCAGACTAATGAGAATGAAGGAGTGATGAAGCCCAAGGGTCGGGAGTAGGGCAAGGCGGGGGGCTCCTTCCTGCTGTGGCAAGGGCCTGAGTGAGGCACTGCAGCTAAATGTCAAGGGCCCCAAGCCCAAACCCGGGCGGGGGGCTCCACAGACCTGACATATTCATCTCTGCCTCCAACAGCAAACTGGTGCGTATTGGCTGGGTTCACATAAATGGTGTAGAGACCAACTTTCTTGTCTTTCTCTTTCGTCACGACCAATTTCCTAGGAAACAAAGGAAAGGTCTAGATGGGTTCAGGCCATACCCTAAACCAAGCAAACAAAGCATAGTTTCTGTTGTTCTTGTGCGTGCTCTGCCCACAGATAAGCTCTACGATGGCTTCACATCAAGAACAGGCAGAACCCCAAACCACGCTCCTCCTAGCCCTTCCTCACGGGTTGTGAGAACCTGGCCACTGACGGTGGGAGCAGAAATTAGCCAGAGCTCTTTGGGCACTTTGGTCAAGGCTCCGGACACGTGAGCCAAGTCCAGCAAGGAGACCTTCAGCGCACTTAGCTGCTTCAGCAGCAAACAATCAGCCACTCGGGGCAGGGCAGGGCAGGGCAGGGCAGGCAAAGAATGGAGGGGGAGCAGCAGTGAGACAAGGTGCCGTCTGCACTGGGGGGCAGCAAAAACAGGGACTACAATCTGCTCCAAGAGAACTGGCCAAGAGGAGGTTTGAAGGCCTGCCAAACACCCGAATGCCAAGGGAGCACTTCAGATCGGCAGTGGCGCTGGCAGCAAAATGCCTGCCCTCCGGCCTTCTCCCTGACCATCAGCCACTGAGCGAGAGGGAGGCCCTCGGCAGCCCACTTACGAAGCTGGTCGGTCTTGTCTCAAGTCAATGGCAAAAACAACAGCGTCTTCGCCCGCTGATAGGAAAGTGCAGGGGGAGTCTGGTTCCAGGGCAAGCTGGGGGAGAGAAAGGCCGGGCTGAGTTGCCTTCTTTCACTGAGGGAGAGATGCTGACCTGAATTTGGCAGGCGAAGGCTCCAGGAAGCCTCTGGAGCCGCCTGGCTTTGCACCCAGGCCCCAAGATTTCAAATAATTTTGCAGGAAAGCCCCGTGGTTTAAAAATGTGCTGCCCTGCATGGCTCCTCTAGAGAGAGCAACTGTGCCTCCGCAGAGTTATCGAGAGGAAAGGACCGGGCGGCTGCGTTCGGCATGGCAGCTTCTCGCAAAGGTGCTGGCTCACCGGGTGCACCGCCCTGCGCCGGGAACTGAGAGTCTAGGCCTGGGTTTTGGGGAATGGGCAGCCAAGCGGCCATGGGCCCTCCTGGTGAAGTTGCTCATGGCCAATGCTAGGAGCTCCCCCCAGTGGGGAGCAGGCAGGGGTAGCAGAGGAGACCCCACTCACCTTGTGGGACGCGCCCTTGTGCTGGGCCACCCGCTTCGTGGTCTTGCAACACTGGGTGGCCGAGAGTTCGGCGATCCGGACTTGGCCATCCCGAGCACACATGGCCAGGGTCGAGTCTCCGCTGTTGGGGAGGAACTTGGCCTGGGAGGGGAAAAACAGCCAGGCATTGGTAAGAGGCGGCCAGCTCTTGTCCAAGACTGGTCCTCCCTCCAGCCCTACGAGCCAGCCGAGGCGCCCTGCAGCGCTTGCTCTGAAGGGGAAACCAAGTCCGAATCAGAGTCTCTCACGGCTCAAAGCTTCTGGGGAAAGCGAGAAGCAAAACCCCTCTGCCTCGCTGCTGGCGGGGGAATTCCTCCCTGATCCCTGAAACCACAGGGAGGCAGGGCCCCCTGCAGGTCCCCC